AAGTAGTAGATAATAACAACAATAAACAAACACATAGGGACAGAGATTGGATTGGTGGTTGCCGGGGGGGAGGGGGGAGGGAGGGAGGTGAAAGGGATGGTTCGGTATATGTGTGTGGTGATGGGTTGTAGTTGGTGTTTTGGCGGTGAACATGATGTAATCTGTGCAGAAGTGGAGGTGTAGTGATGTACACCTGAAATTCTTACAATGTTGTAAACCAATGTTACTGCAATAAAAAAAAAAAAAAAAAAAAAAAAAAAAAAAATCTAGGGAGAGTGTTCAAGCAGGAAAGCTTAAGTCAGAGGCTCACTCTCATGGCACCAGAAGGTAGAGATTCTTACATTCAGAACAGAATATTCTTATGTAAAAAGTCATTTCTCCCTTAACACTAAATTCATCGACACAAAAATGATTCAAATCAACATGAGGCTGACTGATTCAGTATAAAGACATGCAGGGTAAAATTTGTGGGTTACCTTTTCAATTCTGCTATACATCAATAAAGGAATATAGACTTTGGAAAATTCTTCCAAAGCCTTTGAAGATGAGTTTTGTTGTTTTTTATTCGATTTTTCCCCTTATCTTTCAACACTTAATTCAGCAGACTGCCATGTTAATTTTTACAAGGTAATCTTCACTCAATATTAGAATCTACACTGAGTGATTCAAGTCTGAAATCTTTTCCCACATCTCCATTTAAAATGTAACCTAAAAGACAGGGGGGAAAAAATAACCTCTTATATCATATAAATTAGCCCTTAAAATTATGGGCGATTTATTTTTTACACTACAAGCTGACAAACCGAAATGTATCTCCCCTCCCAATCTTCACAACAGAGAACATTTGGGGAATGAGATGCTCCACTTTCTGGCTGACATAAAGGCTAAAATTAACATTTTAAACCATACGTATCCCTTTGTGAACTAAGTACACTGCATTCAATTTAGCCACCGCTACCCCCAAACCCTAACATTCTCCACCTTTCTCCTGAGTCAAAGCCCTTTGTTATTAATGAGTTTTGTGTCGTTACACAGTCAATCCTAATAGCTAACATTTTAACACTAGCTTACTATGGCGGTGGCCTTAAAAAGACTATTTTACATGTATTATCTGATTAGATCCTCATGAAAAATCCTAAGGTTGGTCATATTGTTATTTCCATTTTTCAGATGAAGAAAACAAGGCATAGTCAAGTTGAGTGTCAGTCAAGTAACCTGCAGCCATCTCTCACAGCCAGCACCTGGACTTGGGAAGACCAGGTCTGTGAGGCTCTGGATAAACCCCTTCTACACATACGCAGAGCAAGTGCAGAGACAAACTGGTATGATCACAAATCCCTGCCGCCTCCGTCTGCTAGCTGTGTGATAAAGGGGCAAGTTACTTAAGATTTTTCCACTTACAAAATGAGAATAATGCTGTCTACTTTATGGGCTATTGTGAAATAGGTCAGTCCTTCTCAAATTCCTTTCCACAGGATAAACATCTTCCTAGGGTTTCTATTTTTAAGAAATGAGGGATTTTTTTCATGAGTTTTCTTCTGCATTCCTACAAGGTCTTGTAAGGGATATGTGTAAGAAAATTCCTTTATATGACTTCCAGTCCTATATCACTCTTCAACAATTACAGAATATAAAAGCTCTGTGTAGTGAGTGTCTGGAAAATTTTATGCTTTTGTGTTACGCTAACTGCCCAGGAGAGGTCTCGACCAAACAAACAGAAGCAATAGTAGCCTAAAAGCACTGGACCATGACATGTCTCACACGACACCTTAAATGGACGACACATCTCAATAAGCTGACCACGCTTAGGGGGCTGTGGGGATAAAATCGTGGCATTTGCATCCATATAGTTTATAACGAGATCTGAGGTCTCAAAACACTATGAAATCCTGACAGGTAAGAGAACTGTCTTGATGTTAACCTGAGATGCAGTGTCAGCTCTTCAGTTCAGCTCAATTTCCCCAAATGGATGGTCTGAAGGCAAAAGCAAGTTGCTCCCTAACTAACAAGGTAGGTAACTTGTTATCTAATAGTATGTAATTTTAAACATGTTTGTATTAAAACAAATATGAATATACTATGGAGTGAAAACTTCAAGTACTTTTATAAATGTCTTTGCATATACCATCTCCCCTAATTGTTACATCAATTATGTTGTTTACAAATGAGCCATATTTTACATGTAAGAACACAAAGGCAAAACCACACTGGAATTCAGGTCTTCTAACACTTGGCCCAGTAATCAGTCCACTTTTTTATTATCTATACTGAAATAAAAATTTAGCTATTACTTTATAATTATATAACATGAATAATCTAATTTATTCTAAATTGTCCTTAAAAAACCAATATAAAAACTGTTACTTAATATTCTTAACATACTTAAAGTCGTAAATAATGTAAAAACGTAGGAACATAAAATATTCAGTATATATTTTTCTTTAATTAAATATATCTCCTATTTCAGTAGTATGTGGGTGGAGAGTTATTTTCTTCCAAGTAATCAATACTTTATACCTTTTTTTAGTACCTTTAAATAACAAATATGTAAGTACTTACTTTAGAAATGATTTTATTTTATGTGCAAATAATGGACAGATGCTCTAACCATAGAGAATTAGGAGCTTTTTGTGTGTGTGAGAGGAAGATTAGCCCTGAGCTAACATCTGTTGCCAATCCTCCTCTTTTTTTTGCTGAGGAAGATTGGCCCTGGGCTAACATCCGTGCCCATCTTCCTCTACTTTATATGGGATGCCGCCACAGCACGGCTTGACAAGCGTTACGTCAGTGCGCACCCGGGATCCAAATCTGCGAACCCTGGGCCGCCAAAGCAGAGCACGAGCACTTAACTGCTGCACCACTGGGCCGGCCCCAACAATTAGGAGCTTTTTAAAACAAAACCTTACACAACACAACAAATCTTAAAATGCACTGGGATTCCTCTGCTTCTAAATCGTTGCTAAGCAGGAAAAATAAAGCTTGTTTTATCAGGAATCTCAAAATAGAAATGAGTATTCGCCACAGTGGAAATTACAGAGCATAGTGCCATTTCAGGAACAGAAATTCAGCTCTCACCTCCAACATCCAAACTACCTCTCAGAACAGTTAGACTACGTCAAACAGTCCAACATAATTAGGTTTCAATATATGAGGCCATTATGATCTTCTAAGATACCAAAAAACCAAAACAAGGAATTTAAAGATATTACTTGAGGCTAATTATCATACAGGTTGTCAGCTCCTCGTTGTATCCCTTCTATAACATTAATAAAGGGAATATCCTACTGCAAAGAAAATTTTATTTTATATATCACTAGCCATGAATTTTTGTCATTAGTTATTACATAAATGCAGCCTAGTGCCATTATCCAAATGGCATGACCATTTTATGTCCACAATTCATTTCTGTATTTACAAACAGAATTTTCATGATTTACATAAGTATATCAGCGAAGGTTTAACAGTGAGATGCAATCTAACGTCCATACTATCTGACAATTTTCAGATAGCAATGTAGGAAAGACATATTTTTAATCACCTTTCATACTGCATAACCTTACATAAAAAACAAACTGATAATTCAGAAGTTCTAAGTTTCCAAAGGAGATTTTCAAACGCACTTATAGAAACGGTTACAGATACTGAGATTTTTATGAAACATCTTCCATGTCCACATCCTGTTGTAATTTCTGGACCATTTTTTCTTCCAGCTGCTTTCCTTTGCCTTTAAAAAAAAAAATAAAAACCTTTATCAATTCCATGTGACCTTGCAGACTCATATCAACACTTTATATAAAGGATCTTGGACATTTTAAAACATTAGCCATTTCTAAGAAATTTAAGAATAGCAAACTTACACAGGTTTTATGATATGCCACCCATAACGTAAGAGTTCTACACACATTTGCTCATTTCACCCTAATAACAACCTGTATTTTATAGATGAGAAAACTGAGGTACAGAGACAGATGAATCTGCCCCAGGTCTCTCAGCTAGTAAGTCAAAGAGCTGGGATTGGAACCCTGGCCCTGGATCCAGAATCCCTGTTCTTCACAATGTACTACCTACCTCAAAGAGGGTTCCCTAAAAATTTAGATAACAGTTCATTCCATATCATCTATATATGAAACAAATGCTCCAGGATTTTGTCTATTTTGTTTTAATTAATTTGGTAAAAAAATAACCTAGGTAGGACTCTTACACAAATCTACTCAATGTATGGTGACAGAATTTGACCTTTACTAAGGTTCAGGCATGCAATCATTCAGGAATCAAGTCTTCAACTAAATCTCACCAAAATTTCTCTCCCTTTAAGTAATCTGCATAAGTAAATTATAAAACAGATTGTACTTGGTGCCAGCTGGGTAAAAGACTGGTTTTCTAGCACCTCACAAAAGAAACTATGCACACGAACAACCGCCCAAATGAGTGACTACCAGTAAGTTACATCAGCACAAAGAGAAGGTTTTAATACAAAACTGTAGTTCTCAAACTTCAGTATCAGTATCACCTGGAGAGCTACTAAAGAACAGAGGCCCAGACTCAAAGGGCCTGATACACAATATAACGAAATATAAAACAGGGCCGGCCCGGCGGTGCAAGCAGTTAAGTGTGCGCACTCCACTCTGGCGGCCCGGGGTTCACCAGTTCGGATCCCCGGCTCGCACCGACGCACTGCTTGGCAAGCCATGCTGTGACGGCGTCCCATATAAAGTGGAGGAAGATGGGCACAGATGTTAGCCCAGGGCCAGTCTTCCTCAGCAAAAAAAGAGGAAGATCGGCAGATGTTAGCACAGGGCTGATCTCCTCACCAAAAAAAAAAAAAAGAGAAATATAAAACATCATCCTTTAATAAAAACAGATATGAGGCAAAATCATCTATGAAATTATTATTCAAGTTATTTTGATTAACTTGGGCACGTATCTTACAGAAGACAGGATTCTACGGAAGTAGAAAAGAAAAGCACCTGCAACAAACTGACTGGAACTGGGAAATATACTAAATATTTTTATAAACCAAGTCATATCACAAGTGGACTGAAAGATAATAGTTATATGAAAAAATGACCTTAAAAAGTTGGTTAGTATCCAATTATACAGACCACAAAAATCCAGATTTTTTCATCTCTCTACTAAAAGCAAAGAACCTCCTGTGCAATGCAGCACTTACCTGCAACAGGGGCCCGGATGAGATGGATGTTCTGCTTGACTTCTTTGATGTCCTGAACTTTCTGCAGTTCTTTATTTTTCTTCAACCTAGAATAAAACACATCACGGTGAAAATTTCAGTTATTAAAACTTCTTTAAAAGACATTAATTCATAACTTATAAAAACAAATTTTATTAAATTAGCCACACAGATGAAGAATGTGATCTCAAAATTATTTTCCAGTTCCTAATTAGCTTAAAATAGGATTCCTACACTACCAACTTGTTCATTCACTGTATCTCTAGTGCCTAGTTGGGAATAAAATTAGGGAGGTGGAGGAGGGTTCAATATATTTGCTGAGTGAAAGAAGGAATGTGAACGAAGCAAAGAATTAACTCAGAATTCAATCAATCTCAGAAATCAGTGTCTATTATACACGTATAGTGCAAATCTATAACTGTTAAAGTGCCTAGATCTTTTTTCCTCAAAGAAAGAAGTCTCTTTGTTACCTTTTTTAAATCATTAATTACAAGAGCACAAAACACATAAAACACTCAACAAAAATGCTAACAGAGTAGTTCTCAAACATTTAGCCCCTTTTCTGTAATGCTTTAACATTTTTTTGAAGCCAGAAAGCTGTGAGCACATGTTCCTTTTCTATGACAGACTTCCATAGTGATAAGATCAAAAACTAATGCCCCTGCGTTAAAGAAATAACCTATTCCAGACTTGGGCAGGGAAAGTACAAGATGAGGCTAGAACCTCTTGATAGCCATAAAACAAGAAAGCTCTCAAAAAATGAGAAGGAACTATCAAAATGACACAGGAGCCCTCCTGAACAAACTCCCACTGGCCTGGGGTACTTACAACATCAAAATAAGTTATGACAAAGAATTATAATCTATTGAATACCATAAGAATCAATAAATACACACAGATATGATATGAATGAATAAAGGAATAAATTTTGAAATTGAGGAGAAGGGAAAAGCTCTTTTACATGAGAAAGCTAACTAATAAATGTAGAAGAAATGAATGAATTAGAAAAATCACCATTTGGCAATGACCACAATAAAAGATTCAGACAAGACTCTAATGGATGCTAAAACCAATAGGTACCAGTTTGAGGAGTACCAGGCTCTCTGCCGAGTCTCAATGTATCTCCCCCAAGATAGGTACTGACTAAAAAGGAGAAAGAAATGGTAACTCTCCAGTGGAGAAAACTGGCAGACACCACCTTAACCAAGTGATCAAAGTTAACATCACTGGTAAGGGACGACATGTGCCTCCTGCTATGATGCATAAGGACACACATCATTTCTGGCCAAAGGTCCCTAACCTGAATCTAATCATGAGGAAAACAGCAGACAAACCCAAATTGAGGAACGTTCTATAAGATAATGGACCTGTACCCTTTAAAAATGTCAATGTCATTTAAGACAAAGAAAAGAAACTATCCAGATTAAAGGAGTTGAGGAGATATGACCACTAAATGTAACGCATGATCCAGGATTTTCTGTTGCTATGAAGGACATTACTGGAACAACTGGTGAAATCTGAATAAGGTCTGTAGATTATATAATGGTATTATATCAATATTAATTTCCTGATTTTGATAACTATACTGTGGTTATATAAGAGCTTGTTCATATTTTTAGATATACGCTGAAGTATACTTAGGAGAAAAAGAGCAAAATATCTTCAACCTACTATACAGAAACAAGGATAAAGTAAAAGTGGTGAAATGCTAATAGAATATACAAGAGTTCTTTATACTATTATTGCAAGTTTTTGTAAGTCTGAAGCTGTGTGAAAATTAAGTGAAAAAAAAGAGTCTCTAGATTTCTACTAGTAATTATTTTTCCAAGAGCTACTCAATACATATATTCATACCTGTTCATTATAAATTTAGCTTGGCGTTTCTGTTTGATCTCTTCGACTCTCTTCATTGCATCAACTACAAAAAAATTCATAAAAGTTAGCAAATTTATGCTCCTTCAAGCAGGATGATTATAATCAACAAGAGCTTTAACAATCATTCCTTTATTCTTTATTGTGATTTAGAAATGGATTAAATGAAAAAACTCATTGCAAAAACGATCCCTACTAAACTAACTGAAGAAGGTATGTACTCTTGGCTTATATCACTTTGACTATCTTTCACAAGTAACCCCTCTCTAATTTTCATTTTGCAAAAGCCTTTATTGCTACTAAATTTTCCTTCTACTTTAAACCAATCCAGTGCTTTTCAAATTTTATTCTACAATGAACACGGATTAATGGCTACTAATCTCATTCTTAGCTTGTCATATCCATAAAGACAGCACCTTTCCAGTCATAACACCACTTTTTCTTCAAGTGCGTGGGATAGATCTGCACATGATGAATATTGGTAGAATGAACTTGTCAATCAGTCAAAATTGAACCAGTCAATTTGCCACGTTCTCAACCACTAAAATCCAATTATTTTGGAAAATATGTACAGGAGCCTTGGCTATAAGGGAGCTGAGTCCACCTATGCTCTAGAATCTATATCAGCACTGTCCAATATAAAAGAAACCACATATGTAATTTTAAATTTTCTAGTAGTCACATTTAAAAAAAAAGGAACAGGTTGAAATGTAATGATATATTTTTTTTAACCCAACATATCCAAAATACTGTCATTTCAACATGTAATCAATATAAATTATTACTGAGACATTTTATGCTTGTTTTCATACTAAGTCTTCAAAATCCAGCATGTGTTTTACATTTACAGCACATCTCAATTCAGACGAGCCACATTTCAAGTGCTCAGTAGCCCCTGTGACTAGGCTGGCATACTGCACAGCACAACTCCCAATCTAGCTTCTTGAAGTATAGTCTGTGGATCTGATGAATAACAGGATACTCACATAGTCTTAAAGTATCTCCCCACAACATAATTATTAATCATCAAGGGTAAGATACTAACTTTACAGTGGAGAAAACTGCTACACTCCTCCTTGACCAATAATCAAAGTCAACATTGCCAGTAACAGACTAATGGACAGCAGGAGCCTCCTGACGCTACACAATGACGAGAACTCAGCATCATGTCTGTGGTGTTCCTGCCAAATGTACATTACCCAAATCTAACCTTGAGGAAGCATCAGACAAAACTCAATTAAGGGATTTTGTACCAAACACCTGGCTCATATTCTTCAAAACTGTCAATGTCTTGAAATATAAAAACAAACTCAGGAACTGTTCCAAATCCAAAGAGACGTGACATGTACTATTCTTACAACTTCTGCAATAAAGGATATTATTGGGACAATTAGAGAAACCTAAATAGGTCTGAGATTAGGTAATATTGTATCAATGTTAATTTCTTTTAATAATTGCACTGTGGTTATATGAGAGAATGTTCTATTTTTAGGAAATATATATTAAACTATTTAGGGATAAAGAAGCATTATATATGCAACTTAGTTCAGAAAAAAATTATAGAAGGAAGGAAAGAGAGAGAGAGGAGGAGGAGGAAAGAAAAGGTAAATTTAATAAAATGTGGGGGCTGGCCCCATGGCCTAGTGGTTAAGTTCAGTGCAATCTGCTTTGGCAGCCTGGGTTTGGTTCCCGGGCGCGGACCTACACCACTCGTCAATGGCCTTGCTGTGGTAGCGACCCACATACAGAAGAGAGAAGACTGGCACAGATGTTAGGGGGAATCTTCCTCAGCAAAAAATAAATAAAAATAAAATTTAAAAAAATAAAATTTAATAAAATGTTAACATCTGGGGAATCTAGATGAAGGATATCAGAGAATTCTACTCCTGCAACTTTTCTGTTCAGACTGAAATTATGCCAAAATAAAAAACTTTTTAAATGTAGTCTGAGGACCAGTAACATTGGCATTACCTGGGAGTTTGTTAGAAATGCAGAATCTTAGGACCCACCCAGACATACTGTAAAAGAATCTGCATTTTACCCAGAAGGCCCCATGGGGCCACTGCTATTAAGACAATGTTTGTATGAATAAGTCTAAGACAATGTCAACTCTAAAATCTGCACATGCTGTAGCTTCGAATTAATAATATGCTGGATATGTAACGTTTTTTTCCTTTGTCTTTCAGCAAAAATGATAAGGCCAAGTCCTAGTACTCAGAAGCAATTCCACAGCTTAAAGTTACTCAGAAGGGAAATAAACACAAATGGCAGGTAAATTCTTTACAAAGAATAAGACGCTGCATTTCCAACTATTTCAGACTGAAAAATTTTAAACGTAAGAAGCATCTGATAGGGGCCAGCCCCGTGGCGCAAGCAGTTAAGTGCGAGCGCTCTGCCGCGGCGGCCCGGGGTTCGCCGGTTCAGATCCTGGGCACGCACCGACGCACCGCTTGACAAGCCATGCTGTGGCGGCGTCCCATATAAAGTGGAGGAAGATGGGCATGGATGTTAGCCCAGGGTCAGTCTTCCTCAGAAAAAGGAGGATGGCATCAGATGTTAGCTCAGGGCTGATCTTCCTCACAGAAAAAAAAAAAAAAAAAAAGCAGCAGCATCTGATAGACGTTCAAAATTGATCAGCAATACAGAGAGACATGAGGGATAAAATACAAACTATTCTTCCTAGTATTCTTGCTTTTGAAGTTCTACTGTTTCTGTGGACATGAGCATCTTAACAAAGGTTGCTCAGGCCACATCTTCACACAATTAGATATCGGAATATAAAACTATTGTCAACAGCTAGTTTACAGACAACATGATACTGAAACAGGGGGTGTGGGGCATCAACAAATCTTCTAGAAGAGTAATGTATCTTTCTGGAACACTATTAACAACTTGTATTAATTGTATAAACCAGTAGGAAATAGTTTTAAGTTTCAAAAGATTCACACTGTCTACCCAGATCTTTGAAAAGTCTATTTGTAGGATTCAAATATGAAAGGACAACAGAATCTGTGCAGGAAAAAAAAACTTAATAGAGAACTGCTTCTTACAAATTTACAGATCTATAAATGAGTGGGCAAGAGAATGAGACTCTGTGATAATACCTGAAGCAACTACCCTCTAACAAAAACAATAAAACAGGAGTACTCAGTAAAATGCACCAAGAGGGCAGGGACTGTGTGTGCCCTGTTCATCTTTGTATGATAGAGTCAGTGCTTACTGTTAAAGTATATGAAGTCTTACAGAACCCAACAGTATTTCTCACAAGCAAAGTAAATAACAAGCCAGTATGGAGGGTCACAGTAACTGAATATCCACACACGACTAAAATAAGATACGCACTCAGTTTTAACATCAAGCTGAATACCCAACAAATAAAAGCAGTTATAAAATATGTAAAAACGATCTGGAGCTGTTATCTTCAAGTAGTAACAAAAAAACAAAGGCCAAAATGAAATAGAACTCAGCGGGGTCCAGAAATGCTTTAGGACCTTCCTATAACGTCCTTGACAAGAGTGCCTTTTGGAATCAATATTTGTAACTATGTGTGGTGATGATGTTAACTAGACTTATTGTGGTGATCATTTTACAATATATACAAATATCAAATCATTACATTATACACCTGAAACTAATGTTATATGTCAACTATACCTCAATATAAAAAAGAATCTTATGAAGTTATTAATCTCTTCAGAAATCCTTGAGTTTGAGTCAGTGTTACTTCCTTACCAAATAAGCCCAATGAAATCAACTGCTTTTCAAAAACTAACTCTTCCTCTAATTACAAAACAGAAGAGAAAGACCTTATTTAAAAAAAAAAAAAAAAAAAAAAAAAAACCCAAGGAGCAGAATACTCAGGGCTATGTGGAATAGGCAATTCCTAATATGGACTCTGATTTCTCCACACAGTCCAGGAAAAGAAAGCTTTAGAGGGTGTCAAATAACTACTACAAAGGCCCATAACTTTTCAATTCCTCCCTGAAGTCTTATGACTGACTGGGGAAAAGGTCTTGAAAGGAATGCCCTGCCTGTGATCCATTAGAGACTGATAACATTTGCAGAATTCTAAGTCTTATGGACGTCTAGTTAAACTACGTCACCTCCACACTCAAGACTAGAAATGGCTACAGGCTGCATAAGGCAGTGATTAGGGGAAGAAAAGGGAGGACCAAGGGCCTCAAACACACATAGACACAATGGAATCTACAAGCTAGCTGAAGGAACAAAGTTTTATTATATATGGGATTTTTTTTTCATTAAAGTCTCTGCCTACTTCAGGAAAAAAAAAAGACAAGAATTAGATAGATATTATTGCTTTTGATTTCAGTAGCCTCTAGCTTCATTTTTACCTAAGTCAAACACTTAAAAGTTCTCTTAGAAAATTCATAATTATCACCTTAAGCACTAAACTTTTTAATTTTACAGGAGCATAAATTTTATAAGGTAGACACAATACAATGTTTATATCCCTAAACCAAATTATCTAAACTTATAAAGTGTGTTAGGTTTTGTGTATATTTTAACCATGCCACACTCACCCCAAAAAACTATTCTCCATATCTATTTTTTTCAAATTTTTGGATGTTTTGATATCTTTGTGTAGGCACTTCAAATAATGTCAAATTTAATAATTACATTATTTTTATAATGGATACATCAGCCAATTCTGAAAAGGATTTTGGGTAGCTTATAATAAAAGACACAAATACAACAGAACAATTAAAATAAGAATAAAATAATTAAAGCTAACCAATGAAAAGGAGAAGAAATTTAATACTTAAATAACAAACTGACATTCAAGTTATGGCTAAATCCCAAACAAGTCTCTCCTGAAAATTCCTAGTACTCCCTTGTGACTTACTAGTTTTATTCCATAGCTCTCGCTGGTATTTGACAGGTTCATTTCTACGTTTTTCAAATTCAAATGAATTATCCTGTAAAGTGGGAAAAATACAGTTTTAAAAGAGGTAGAAAGGAAGCATGTCTTAAAACTTATTCTCCTTTTCACAAAAGTTCCTAGTGTTTCAAACCATGGACACACATTAAGATTCCCCCCGGGGTGATCCCAGAAAATACAAGTTGTCAAACTTTTCTCCTTTACACACCACAATCTACAAGACAGCCATGCTGAAAACATCTCTATATACAAATGAGTCTCAAGGGATGGACAGTACCACCCCCGTCCCTCAGAGGGGCGTATAACAATCATGGGGATTAGAAACACACTGAAAAGCTTCCCTGATTTCCCATTCCTAGATGAGACTCACAGCCAGAAAACTTTGTATTAGGATAAACCATATGAAACTGCAATTTTTCATATATCAAAAAGAGTCAAGCATTGAGAATTTCATACGGTTCAACCTAAATGCTTTGCATGTTTATATATTTCAATAGCTATATACCTTTGTGTTATAGCATAAAGGTGTGAAACTACACATCTTCAAATAAATGTGGTGCTGCGCTGCATGACATAAGCTTCACCCTGAAATTCTTCAGGTCTCCTCCAAACATAGTTGGTATTTTGACAGTTAATGATCCTATTTATCTCAAAACATGCAAAACAATTTTGGAAAAGCTACAGCTTTCTTGGAAAAACTACAGGTATCTCTTGGTTTTCAAATCTATCGGACTTAGGCATGTGGAACAGCACTAACTCTGTATTTAGCTATTTCATTTATATACACACGCTCCTGTTCAGATCACAGCAACTTCAGCCATGACAAGGTAACTGGTCACCAGCAAATGACCGACTGGCATCCTTTCTTCACTCATACACTTGCCACCTGCATTTGAGGTACTATATTTCTTCTTGTCCATACTGAAAATTATTTTTGTGACTATAATTGTGATTTGTCATTGCACTTTTGTCAAAAAATATTCTTTACATTCATTGAAAACCTCTGGTGTTAAGGAAGCTGGGAAAGGGCTTCATGGCAACTGCTTAGATATTGCCCTCAAGGAACAGAGAGGCAGGAAAGACGTCATGGATTTCGGGGTAGAGGAAGTCATGGAGGGAGAGGACAGTTTAAAGATCTTCCTCCCTCAAAGGGAGCCTGCGCAGCAGCTTTCACCTCCTCCCTTTACAGGGGTCAAATGTGGACAAGCTTCACCAGGTCCTTCTACCAATTCAGTAATAGCAGCATGACGATGGGGGCTCACCTCATGAAATTCCCTCACCCAGCTTCCCACTATTCCTCCTTACACCAACATTACTAATTAATTTCTCTGCTCTCAGACACAAAGTCTCCCTAAGGAAATCTAGAAACTGATAAATGAGTCTATTACAAACCTAATCTGAGCCCTCTCTCATTTTCAAGAATGCTTTAATTAATCTTTTAACTTCCTCTCAAAATCTCTAAGTAGCAATTTCCAACTTTGCCCCAATCCATTTAAATGATTTCCCCCCTTGTTTGCAGGAGCAAAAAAGTTTCTTGAGAATAAGAAAAAATACAAACTGGGGGCCGGCCCGGTGGTGCAAGCGGTTAAGTGCGCGTGCTCTGCTGCGGCGGCCCGGGGTTCGCCGGTTTGGATCCTGGGCGCGCACCGACGCACCGCTTATTAAGCCATGCTGTGGCGGCGTCCCATATAAAGTGGAGGAAGATGGGCACGGATGTTAGCCCAGGGCCAGTCTTCCTCAGCAAAAAAAGAGGAGGATTGGCAGATGTTAGCACAGGGTTGATCTTCCTCACAAAAAAAAAAAAAGAAAAAATACAAACTGGATTAGGAATTTTTTTTTCTTTTCAGAATTCTAAAGATTTATGGTTTTTAGGATCATGTGAGAATGAAATTATTACCACAGCCACATACAAATAAGTCACTCATCAATCATGGTATAGGAAGCCTTGTTATAGTTAACTAAATCACATATCCCTCCCTGCCCCCCAAAAATTAAAATTTTGAAAACTGTAAAAACTGTATTGATAGCTAATTGTACGCACCACTGTAAGCTCTTTACCAGCTGCCTTCCGGAATGCTTTAGTCCACCTGACCTTGCGAGGATTGCGCTTCTTCTTAAAGTTTTTATGACACTTGGATTTACAGAATCTGAACACCTACAAGAAAAATAAGTTAAACTAGTGAAAAGTCAATATTAAAAATTTTTCTATCATAAGATATTACCCCTACCAGACAAAATATACTGTGAAGTCTGAGAAATGACAACGGTTCTTACTCACAAGTGCTTCTACCTACTCACAACACTGTTTAGAAATATGTGAGACATATCAGACTAAATGGAAATTGAACTATTTTTTGACTATCAAACATCATCACAACTAAAGGCTAAGGGCCCTGAAGATATAGTTATAAACTACCATTTTTATAGAATAACAGTAAAACCTTACAATGATATTGAATGAACGGAAGAATTTTAAGAAAAGTCATTTATTTAAATCTCTTCTCAATTCAGAATAGTTCTCAAAATTCACTTTCTATACACCTCAATAGGGGTTAAGTTTCAAACACCATTCTGAAATCTCTTTGGTTCTATCCATCCTTGCACAAAATAATTTCAAAAAAGCACTAAAACTGTCTATAGATTCGTTTTCTGAAGTGTTTATTCAAAGATCTACTAGGAAGATTCTTCACTACTTTAATTCTTCACCTTCATCCCAAAAGATGTGATCCTTTAATAGTGCTTACAATTTAATGATGCTTCAATGTGCTCCTGAAATGGCTTACTGGGACTCATATAAGTCTAAAATGTATTATTTTGTACTTTGTAAAGGCTTAGGACATATTACAATTTGTATTGTGTGTATTACTAGAGGGATGTGTGTATTACTAAAGGAAATATGAAGAGAAAAAGTAATCTGTGAGTTTATGGATCTTGGCAAAGAAAATTAAGTGGAATTATCATACCTATATCCAAAATGTGACCCATAAAAAAAATAGGTCAAAATGAGGTATAAACATTCCAAACTAAGTAAGCCTATATAGCAAAGGAAACAAAAGAAAAAATAAACAAATAGGACTACATCAGAGTAAGCCTGTGTTCATTTTATGTATACTTTGTTCTACGCGGAACTTCAAACAGGTCACTATACACACTAGGACACTGTTTTCTTAGAAAGGGTCAAAATTAGTTCAATCTAAACTAGACCCACACCTCCTAGAGAGCCCTCTCCTGAGAGACTTGAGTAAAAGCATGTCTACATTCTCGAATTAATTTCAAAGCAACTAGAAAATATAAGAACTACTGTAGTCTCCCAGAGTAACTCACTGTGAAATCATTATTGGCAAAATTTCTTTGAGTTTTTTCAGCCCTAAGTACTATTACCTTTTAAGTAAAAGCCTCCTACGTTTAATAACTACTAGATAACTCATAGATAAATCCCCATTTCTGAGATATATCTAATGAGAGGTTTGAACTTGTCCTGACTCTTCTCAATTCCAAAGAGAGCCAATGGGAAGTTACAGGAGAAGTCTACTTGAACTCCCTAGCTAATATATGTTATCTGAAAAGCCCATGAAGCATCTGAACAGACTGGAGTCACTGGAGATGGGAAGGGGATTCAATCATCAAAAAGGAGCATCTACTATGAGCCTGATGTTGTCCTAGGTGCTACGGGTATAGAAGAATTAAAACATGATATCCTACCTTGAGACGCTTACACTAGCAACGTGATCAAGTCTCACTTTGCAAACAAGAGAGATGGAGATCAGACTAGGATATAAACAACGGGATAAAACTGTATACAGGCACACTCAGGGATATCACAGGTTCGGTTTCAGACCACCACAATAAGGCGAGTATCACAATAAAGTGAGTCGCAGGAATTTTTGGGTTTCCCAGTGCATATGAAAGTTACATTTATTCTATATTGTAGTCTATTAAGTGTGCTAAAGTCTATTATGTCTAAAAAAACAATGTACATACCTTAATTAAAAAATACTTTATTGCTAGAAAATGCTAACTATCACCTAAGCCTTCAGCGAGTTGTAATCTTCTTGCTGGTGAAAGGTCTTATAAAAAACGCATTATCTGTGAAGCGCAATAAAGCAAAGTACAAAAAATGAGGTATGCCTGTACAATAATCATGTATAAACTAATATGGAAACACACAATAAGGAAGTGGTCAAACATACGGTGGGGTAGGTTGTGGATGGACTACGTGTGAGATACAGTTTCATAGGCTCAAATTTCCTTTTTAATCTAGTCTTCTAGCATCATCCTCAGTCTTCAATATGCAAAAAAAATTATCTAATAGTACCTCGGCCTCAAAGTTCTTCAACACCTTCTTATTCCACTAATTCAACAAACATTTATTAAGCATTCATTAAGGATGTATATATTTTTCCTGTTCGCAAACTATGTGAAAATATGGAGCATTAATACTAATTCTTTTTTTTTTTTTTTTTTTAATTTTTCCCCCAAAGCCCCAGTAGATAGTTGTATGTCATAGATGCACATCCTTCTAGTTGCTGTACATGGGACGCGGCCTCAGCATGGTCGGAGAAGCGGTGCGTCGGTGGGCGCTCGGGATCCGAACCCGGGCTGCCAGCAGCGGAGCGCACGCACTTAACCGCCAAGCCACGGAGCCGGCCCGCATTAATACTAATTCTACCCTTAAGAAGCAACCTAAGAAGCATAAGAGGGGACCATCTATGGAAGACGGTCTCAAAAGCTAAGAGCATAAAGACTAGTTAGGAGGCTATGAAAGTGACACAAGTGCCTAATTTGGAACCAGGACAGGAGGGAAGGAAAAAAAAGACACCACTATCCTTTGCAAAGGCAGAACGGATAGGACAATAACTAGATACAAAAGGTGAAAGATTCAAAGATGACTCTCATGTTTCTAGCAAAACTGTCTAGGCAGATGACAGTGGTATTAATTCAGAGAGCAAAAAGATTTGAGGTAATAAGGGACTCTCTTTCAGTAGGCTCACTGTTAGGTACAAACAATTTCTCTGTCAAGTGGAAAACTCAGACTTGTAACTAAGGAGATAAAGATTTGGGAATCATCAGCACAGGAGAACCGAGACAGTTTTCAATAGCACTTCAGGGCCTCTACTTCTTATTTCCCCAAGCAACTCTGTTCTGGATCCACTGGTCCTCCCTAGAGCAAGCTAGCTCTCAGCCAATTTAACAATGCTAGCAATATAGACTTCCTCATCAACTTGAACTTCCGCTGTGTCTGCCAGATAACACCATCTCTAGTAGCTCTCAAGATCTGTTCTAATTCCAATACCCAGTTGACAAACATTGATGGACAAAAATCATAAAATCATAATGACCAGATCATCTACAAAGCCATACTGCCCACTGTGAATTAGACCCCAACCTGGCAATCGTTTCATTCATTTCTATAAACGTTTTATCGTGTTCCTGAGAGCAGGAATTCAAAATCTGCTGCATGTTCTTTCAAGTTCCCAAACACAGCTTTGGTGTCTCAATTTCAGCCAGAAGCCCTGCTCCTACTTTAACGAAGTGAATGTCTTCCGTCTATAATATAGATATAAGGCCATGAAGTAGGAACTGCAACTCTTTAGTGTGTCAAAATCACCTCGTTAAATATTGATTCCTAGATCCTCTTCCCCTTCCCCCAAAGATTCCAATTCAATAAATCTAGTGGAAATCAGGAATCTATTATTTACAAGTGCCCAGTGATTCAGAGGCAAATATAAGAGAGGTCAAATTCTGAGAAACAATGTGTTAAAGAAACCAGAGGAATGAGATTCATTCTGCTATGAGAAGGCAAATTCACAGTCTTTCACAACCAGGCCTTATATCTGTATGTTTCTATCTTATGTTTATAGATCTACCTTTTTCTATATAAACTTGTATTTACAGCCCTACTGCAAACCTCTATCACCAACTACAATCCAGTCACTTCCTAAAACAGAGGAAAGTAATTGCTCCGCTCTGTGCCTTTGCTCAAACTGATCCCTTTCCTTCCACCTAGAATGCCTTCTCCTCGCTTTCTTACGCAAAATTTAAGATCCAGGATAAATGTCATCTTTTTTCTGAGCCTTTTCATATACGACCCTCTCCAACTCACCTCCAATAACTTCATAATACATAACTTTACTATTCAGCCATCAGCAACATTTCTATAACCTCTACACACTATGGGCAGTCCCAAGTCTTACTCGTCTCTGTGGACACGGACCTTAGCAACGATGGGCACGCGTTCGACAAAGGTGACTGAAGTGAAGAACTTGGCCCACGTACAAGACTGGCCAAACGCCCCAAGAGCCCCCCAGATTCCCCGCCGGCGCTGGCTGGGATCGCTCCTGAAGCTCATCGCAGCCAGCATCGCCCAAGGGTGGCCTGGAGAACAACTCCGGTCTGGACGCCCGCAAGGAGAAACTCCCCAGGGAAGAGGTCGAGGCCCAGCTCGCCGCAAAACCACCCTGTCGCGGGGGCAGCGCGGAAACCCCGGGCCAAACGCCGCAGGGGCGGAGGAAGCCCGCGCCGAGCCGGCGCCGCCTCGGCCCGCGCAGCACAGCGGCGCCCGCTGGTCTTGGCCGCCTCACCTTGCAGTCGTTGCGGACGAACATCATGCCGTGGCCGGGGTAGATGGGCCCCGAACAGAAATAACACTTCTCGATACGCATGTTGAACCCGCGTGGGTACGCACCGGCCCAACGCCGAACTTGAAAGGAAGTGACGTAGTCCTGCCACAGGAAGTGATTCTCTTCCCAGTTCCTGACCCAGAAAAGGCGAGCGTCCTTCGCTCCTGGGGGGCCCTGGAAAGCGACCCGAATGTGACAGCGCCTCCCCGCGGCCGCGCGGGCAAAAGCGCTGCTGTTTGGCGCAGGCGCAGAGCTGCAGAGTCGGCCTGGCCGCCCTGTCTGGGCAAGTGAGATGTGGCTCTGCGCCGCCTTCTGAACCCGCTCACGTAGCGCCTGGTTTTCCTGTCTACCATATCCTGTAACGTCAGCATTTACTCCTGTCTTCTGTACCTTGTCTTTGGTTTGTGCTCCCCCCACGGGGCTTCCCACACATTGCGTTGTCTCTAAGAACTCATTTCTCCACTGCCAGCCCTAGACCCGCCCTGATCCCGGCCCCAGGCGGTCTTGCCTCGTGGCGGCGGCGAGAACCTGACGCCCGACGCTGCATCGGACACTGCAACGGAAGAAGCTGAATCTCTGAGGCTCAGAGTACTTAACCAGCAATTTTTTTAAAGCCTGGTAGTGGTGTTCTCCACCTTTACTCCTCTCACCTTTTAAATAATATACATATGTGGTAAAAAGAAACATTTTCACAGGAAACTAAGGTTCTCTCCCCAGATCTCCAGACCTCCCCAGTTGCAATCAGTGCCTTTTATTACCTACCAATTTTCTGTGCAGACACAAACATGTCTGTGTGCTCGCGTGTCTCCACTTCCTCTTCTTGATGACACTCATGCGCATACTATTCACCCTTTTCTTCATGTTGCTGTTGTCTGTCTTCCCTCGTGGGAATGTGAGCTCCATGGGGGCAGAGATTTTTGTCGTTTTGTTCACAGCTACATCCCCAGTACCTAGAACAGTTCCTGGCACATAAGCAATCAATACATACCTTATTATCAGTGAATACTTACTCTTTTTCAAAGTTATATATATGCAGCTGTATGAAGGTATCATTTTAGTTGGTCGCCTATGGATGGACATTTGTTTCCTATCTTTCGGCATAAAAGCATCCTTACTGATGTACTTTTTTTTTCCCAAAAGAGTTTATCTGTACAGAACTGCTGGGTAAGAGGATGGATACACTTTTAACATTTGGTAGATAATACTAAATGCCTTTCAAAAAGTTTTAGCAATTAACACTTAACAACAACCAAGAAGATGCCGATTTTACCACATCCTTGTCAAAGGTTATCTTTGTCAATCTGAGGTTAAATTTTTTTCATTATTATTTTAACTTGCATTTATTTAATTATGAATGAGGTTAAGAATGTTTCCAAATGTTTGAAATCTATTTTTTCTTTGAATTGCCTGTTTATGTCCTTTACGTGGTTTGCTACCGTTGTTGGTTTTAATGGCACTTCCTGTAAAGTTTAAGAAAGTTCTCTCTTTGCTGACATTTAAAAATTATTTCCCAGTTTATCAGTATTTTAAGCTTAGCTTATAGTATTTTTCCACGCAGAAATGTTTTATTTGTATGTCTCCAAACTTATCCGATCTTTTCTTTTATGGATTCGGATTTGGTGTTTTGCTTGGAACTTCATTTCCTTCTTCAAAATTGTTTTTCAAAATTTTTTCTCTATTTTTATAGTATCATTTTTCACATTTGAATTTTCAACTTATCTGAAATTTGCTTAAGTATACATAATGACACAGGATTCCTTTTTTTCGGATACTATATGTTGAATAAGGCATCGTTTCTCCCACTAATTCAAAATGTCACTTCTCTATGGTTTTACCTCTGGACTCTGTGCTTTGTTTCATTGATTTATCTATTTATGTGCCAATTCCAAAATGTTTAAATTATTGTAATTTTTTAAATAACTGGGTTACCTACAGTCCTCCTCTCCCTTCCTTCCTCGGCCTTCTTATTCATTGTTTCTCTGGTATTCTTCAAAGTTTATTTTTTTGTTTTAACTTTAGAATCAGATTGTCTAGTTATAATCTGCAAATACATATAATTTTTCCTTTTATCTGATACTTATATTTTTCTTGTCTAATCATTTGACTAGTAATTCCAGAATAGTGTCAACAAAGGCACATACCAGAAATTTCTGTAATAAACATTTGCCTGTCACTTCATTGTCAACCAAGAGACTGAAAATTATTTTACCCTTGTTTAATCTCCTCCCTCTCTTATCCCCCTCAACAATTGTAGAAGAGCCTCACCAGTCTTCCAAACCTCTTTACACAGTTCCTTCCTAACTCTGTTTTATCCTGTTGCTTGAACAAGAAATTTCCTGCCCTTCTCACCTACATGATCCGAGCTTCACTCTCTTACCTTCAATGTCAGAGGCCACATCCCTTATCCATGTTCTTAATCCCATACCCTAAGGATTCATCCCAGACTTTGTTCCCTTCAGCCCATGAGCATACTCAGTGCTTCACTTTAGGTTGATTGCGTGAGTAGCCAGTCTTAGAAATTTTTTTTGTTTCCAATTGTTATAACTAAATATAAGAGGAAGAAGAGAAAAACAGGTATTCCACATCCAACAAATTGAACTGAAATCTTGGAAATGCTATTTCTTTTCATTTATTCTACTTGAGATTTATGATTCCTGAATTTGAAAGTGTATGTCTTTTATCATTACTGAAAAATTCTCACCTTTTTTTCATATATTGCCTCTTTCTCAATTTTCTCTAATTTCTCCTTGTAGAATTCCTATTAGACGTAAGGTGGAGCCTTTAGCTTTCCTCTCTCTCTCTTAACCTCTGTCATACTTTCTCTTTATCTCACTGTACTGAATTCTGTGAAATTTCCTCCAACTTCGCTTCTAGTTCACCAGTTCTCTCTTCAGCTTTGTCAAACTTACCATTTAACTTCTGACCATTGAGTTTTGAATATCAATGGCTGTATTTTTCATATGTGGAAGTCTCTTTTTTAATTCAAATCAGTCTTGTATCTTTAATAATGTCATCTTTTCCCAGATGTTTCAATTCCACTTATGTTAATTATTTTAAACATTTTTACTTTATTATCTCCATCTGATAAGTATATTATTTGAAGTCCGTAAGTGCCAAGTCCTCTGTTTTTGGTTTACTGGCCCTTGCTCATAGTTGGGGCTGAGGGGGTGGGGAAGGAATGGGTTCTCATTTTAAATTGTGAGTCATCCTCACTAGGTGTTTTCTGTAAGAATCCTGTAGGGTCTGGGTGGAGATGTTCCCTCTGAAAAGATTTTGCTTTGCTTCTACCACATAATCCAGAGGTGTTACCAACCACAAATCACTTTTTTATGTTAATTTCTTGGCTTAGCCATTCTCAGACAGAAAATAGGTAAACTTGAACCTCAAACCGTGTATAAGCAGACTTATGGTTATAAATTCTCATGGGAGACTAAGACATAGCCTGGACACTGGCTTTGTGTGTGTTTAGGGGTAGGAGGTTCTCAATTCCAGCACCTTATCTCCAACAGATCCAAGGCTTTCTCTCCTAATGGCATGTAGCCATTAAAACCAAGCCCCTTGATTACTGATATTGGCAAAACCAAAACAAAAGCAAATGACACTCAGTATCAGGTTGTTCTAAGTTCCCTTTGTGGCTGCTGTTGTTGTTGCTGTTGTCTGTTTTGTGGGGAAGAAGAGTGATCTTAGGGTATTTCCCTTACTTCCCTGAGAGATCAACAATACATTTAAAAAATATATTCATTATATTTTACCCAGCATTATCTAAGTGTTTTCTAGTGAGAGAGTTTTCCAGTTATATAGTCACCCATAATACCAAAAATAGAAGACCTGGAAATACCATATGGAGATTTCCAGTTTATAAAAATGCCAATCAAAACATTCCTTATTGGGGCCGGCCCGGTGGCGCAAGCGGTTAAGTGCGCGCGCTCCGCTGCAGTGGCCCGGGGTTCGCTGGTTCGGATCCCGGGCGCGCACCGACGCACTGCTTGGCAAGCCATGCTGTGGTGGCATCCCATATAAAGTAGAGGAAGATGGGCATGGATGTTAGCCCAGGGTCA